CGTGGAAGGTGTAAATGCATCGGTTCGATAGTTAAAATTTTTTTTGAATGAGTGCTAGATTTTGTAAATAGCAATATTTCTTGTGCTATTTATATAAATTCCCTTTTTAAAAATGATAACACCAAGATTTTGCTCATTGCAAAATAATAGTCAAGAAAATATTTTGACATCTTTTTCTAATTTTATTAGTGTGTGAGACACACACACACACACACACACACACACAATAGAGAATAGAATTATGATATATTGGCCGCAATAAAACAAAAATCAATAATAATTTTAATATATTTATAATCTACAAATCAGGCAATACATAGTGGGGACACTTCCTATGGTGTTCCCTAAACCTTTCACAGGCTTAAAAAATCTACTCGCCATCATGCTGGCAAAAAGAGATAATACCACTTCTATGTTTAGTCATTTTTTAAGGTGGAAAATACTTCGCTAAAAACTTCTGAGTCAGGGCATTCCAAGTCCTAATTGATCCATGAGTTAAAGAATTTAACCACATTTTCGTTTTATCCCTCATGGGGAAAGAGAAAAGCCTTAGCCTCACAGTGTCATTGAAAACGTCATTGTAGAAGAATTTACCGCGTAGTTTTAAGAAGCTCGCTAAATGAAGATTGAGGTCTTCTGAAAACAGATTGTTCTGCACCATTTGGATGAAAGCAGGTTTCAGTTCAAATGAATTGACTTCTACGACAAAAGTATGATGGGCAAAATTATTGTGTATATAATTTTGTCCATGGTCATCAAGATTGTTCTGAGGTAATCAATCATCTCTCCTAGTGTTTGTTAAAGTTGTTTTTAGTTTTCTAATTTTTTATGGTTCTCTCTAACTCAGGGTCGTAGGTTTCAAGGTCTGGTGATTCTGAACAACACATACACTAACTAGATTCAACTAGCAAGACGACCCTATGCTAAAGAGAATAACAAACAATTTAAATGAAAACACACAGCAACAGAATAAAGTTTTAACAATTAAACTACTAATTCAAATAACAAGCAATCAAGAAGTATTATGCAGCAATTAAAAGAAAGAAAAGTTACAAGCACACAATTCTATAAGTGTGCAACAAGTTATTTTTGGGTTGTGTAAATAAAGACTAAGCAATATAAATACATGAAACAATAAAAACAACGGCTTTCAAGTCTAAGGCCTAAAAGTTCAACTAAAATTTTTCTAATTTAAAATTCGTTGTCGTTCCCCGGCAACAGCGCTAAGAACTGGACATACACCAAGTGCTGCTAAACACGGGAGGCTCACACAAATATATGTGGCGTATCAGTAATACACAGAATTGAATTTTGTGTGTCAATCTCGCAAGGAACGAGATGAACTCAATGAGGAAAAGTTCTAGTCTACAGTTGCCAGTCCTAGCCTGAAAGGATCGAAATGTAAGTTCAATTTAAAAGTTATCCTAAGGTTATGAAAAACAAATCTATCCCAGCAAGCAAGAAGATTATTTAAGGGATTCAAGGTTTGACAGACTTCCCCCTCGAACTGGTTTAGTGATGAATAAAATTGAGGAAATTATTAAAGCTTGATGTTAATTGGGAGCAAAGTCATTACGATCACCTTCTGGTGGTTTAAGAAAGATCAGCTATCATGGGTTTAGTTCCCTAAATCCCATGATTTGCTTAAGCAATAGCATCTCCTTATTAATTGCATAAAGTCAAGGTAATATCCCTATTCGAGTGAGTTTATGTGGTTAACCCTTTTCGTTCTATAAATTATCCTTCTGGATCAAGAAAGTTCATGAATGATTTTAACTATTCCACTGGCCAAGTAGAATGTAAATTAATTTTAAAGGCAAACACAACATTTTTAAAAAGGTTCAAGTACAAATAATAAAAGAATCCTTAATTTTATCCTACAACATTCCCAATTCAAGAAAAAACAAAAGAAACTACTCACTACATATGATTAAACACATCAACACAATCACTGCATTGAAAAAAAGAATCATACAGTAAGTCTTTTACTAAGAAATCCAAAGAAAGGTATAACTTGGTTGTTCTTTTCTTCTTCTGAAACAAGTGCGATGAATTTTAAACCGCAAGTATGAAACTCTCTCAATCTCTCAAACACTACTGCTCTAGTAATCTCTTTACAAGGTCTTTGGCCTTTCCTTTAAAAAGACCCTCCAAGTTAGTCTTCTACCATTTTATATCTTCTCCAAACGAACTGAAGTATTTAACCATCAAACCCACCCATTCTCGTATTCTAGCGTTGTGGCGCCCATAAGTGACACTGGAGCACTACAATCTTTCATTTTACAGTGTCTGGACGCTACTATCGCGACGTCTAGGCACTGCACTCTTGGCGCCCCAACGCTCCCATTCCAATGCAGCATTTTTGTGCGCTAAAAAATTCTTCACCAATCTGGGCGCTTCAGCGCTGTAAGCCAGCACTCCAACACTACATTTCCAGCACCCCGACGCTAAAAATGCGGTGCCGACTTTTCAATCGCTTGAGAATTCGACCATTTCAAGGTTTTTATTAGCGCCTAGACACCAAAACACCATGTTGCTTCAGTTGTCTTGTATTAAATCCTGATTGCTCCCTTTACCTATTACCTACATTTCAACACAAAATACCTTCCAAAAACATAACATAAGCATACAAAAAAAAAAATAAAGATAATAAATAAGCACATTATACGCACGTGCCAAGCTTGATGGGAGAATTTGGGTGAGTTTTTCTAAGAGATTTTTCTCTTCTTCTCGACTTCATCTTCTTCTTCTTCCGCCTATATTTTCATCTTCTTTTGAGTAAGTGTTGTGAGTTTTTTTCCTGGGTAGAGTGAAGGGAGAGTTGAGGAGCTTTCTTCCCTCATCTTCTCCTTCCTCATTTACCCTACTTTCAGAGTTGAGGAGCTTTCTTCCCTCATCTTCTCCTTCATTTATCCTACTTTTTATTTCTTCAATAATCTTCTTCTACTACTACTATACCATCTCACTTGGGAGTGAGAGAGCAACTCCTTGAGGAGTTCTTTGTAGTAGGGAAGCTTTCATCATCCTTGCATGGGAGCAGGCAGGGAGCAAGCAAATAGACCGCGATGTCACCTCCCAAAAGAGCCCTTAAGAGAGGTGGGCAGCCCAGGACTTAAATGCTGCTTTGTGGTACTACACCTAGCCGATGTGGAACTATTTGTCCGTGACATTCTTCTCCACCCAATCAGGTGACGCTTTCGTCACAGACCATGGAGAGTCCACACACCTGACATGCAGTAATCTGCTCTGATACCACTTGTCACCTCCCAAAAGAGCCCTTAAGAGAGGTGGACAGCCCATGACTTAAATACTGCTTTTCGGCCCTACACCTAGCCGATGTGTGACTATTTGTCCGTGACAAGGAGCTCAAATACCATGAAGATGAAACTTATTGTAACCTTGGTTTTCTTTCTTTCTAGCAAGCTTTCTAGGTTGTGTTAGAGATATTAATCATAGGAAATGTTAGAGGAAGCTCCTTAGGTTAACAAGCTCCTTGTTGTGTCCATATAGTCCTCGAGCATATCTCCATTAACCTTAGTCCAAAAATCCTAATAGATACGGGATTGTAGTAACCATGCATTTGCATCAGCAATTCCATTCCTTTGATGGGAAGAATAGAATCCATTCAACCTAGAGAACAAAGAACCTCATAAGCCTTCCGTTCCTTAGGCTATGAAGGTTTTCGCCATGAAAATCCTTCATTTTTGAGCCAAGCAAACAGAGGTGGCCCTTTTGTCCGTCACCCCGCGTGATGAATGGTTGTTACACCATGCCATCACCGAGCTTAGATCCCGTAAAGATCATTTGGACGAGTTGTATTTTCCATCGAATGCAATTGGATCATTTTGCATATTCCCGTCTTCATGTTCAAGCGCATTTGGCATTTGGCATATGTACATACTTTGTTCTTGTAAAACAACTCATTAAAAATGCATATTTTTATATGATTGTATTTAGATACTTAAATATACATGAAATTGCATGTTTAGTGTGACTTATAGCTTGGCATCGAAGTGCATGTAGAATAATTTTTTATGCATGCATTTCCAAATCGAAGCGAGAAAAAATGTGTCAAGCTTATTGCCAATATTTTTTATTATGTGAAAATATGTTTGGCTTGATGCTCGTATTTCCATGAGTGTGAAAATATTTTTTGCTTGAAGCTTATTGCGTGAATTCATCATATATAAAATTATATTTTTGACATGAGTATGCTTTTAGCATTCTGCATGCATATATTGTCTTTTTAAGCATTTACATTTGAGGTATCTCTATGAACACGCATCGTCGTATGTGAATGGTTCGATACTTGCACACCTTGTGAGGGAGTAGCCAACATATAAAGCCTAACCGATGCGTAATTCTCCTTAAAGGGAATCACGCTACCTCACTTCCTATGGCACCAACTAGGAGAATGTCAGAGGTATGTCATATTGTGTCACTAAGTACGGATCGCGCTACTTAGCCCCTATATTCATCTAGTGCACAATATGTTTCCTCAGCTGTGTGACTCTCAACTAGCATGAGATGCATCACCTAACACTCATGACATCATTTAGTATTTGTCACGTGTATGTCCACTCATGCCGACATAATCAACTAGTAAGAACCACTTCTTAACATTATATGAATCAGATTTTTAGAGGAAAAAAATATCATTCTTAAATCATAGAGAAGTTTAAAACCTCAACTTTTGTTTTGAATATTAAATCGTTAACATCCTAATCACCCAATATTCCCTTCTTTTAACAGAACAACAGCACTAATCGCCTTTGATCATCTGGCTTTCATCAACAAACACCCATTGATACCCAACTTCCAACACCAATTGTCAAATGTTAGCAACTCATTAAAACAATAAAAATAATAAAATGCATCTGCAATCAAACAAGAATTCTATGTATTTTTTCTTTCCCGTATTACCACAATAAAACTCTGAGTAATTTTCAGCCATATAACAACAGTTAAATTGAAGTTAGCCATACAAACAAAAAGCCCAATGGTTTGGAATAATGACAATAAAAATTGAAGTAAAAGATGATAGTTAAACAACATTCATAAAGAGTATATAAGTGTAACCGGGCAAAAATTATTAGAAACAATGCTTTGTTTTAATGATCTGCCCAAGTCCACAAAATTTATACCAAACAAAATTTTGCATGATAATTCAGTCATAAACTTGGCATGCTCTTAGCAGTAGTAAGCCAAGCATAAAAATTGAATACCAACTCAAATTTTAAGAGTAATTTCATCAAACATAATAACCTGTGAAGGTGAAGCCTCTTCCAGCAATCTCCCCCACACAGAACCAAGCATATAGCTCAAGACCGAAAAGAGCGGCAATGCCGAGATCCTCCACCTTCAGATCCTGCCTGTTCCTCAAGGTGTGCTTCAGGCCGTCCAGCTCTTTCCAGAATGATTCATAGCGGCCGGGAATACTGAAAAGAATGTTGCCGGGTTGATCAGAAACAAATATTTTGCCTTTCAAGTTAACCAAAATATATGATATTTACATATCCAGCAGCTAATTTCTGCTATTTATATAAGGGGTATTTACATGCATACCACACAACTCCTATTTACATGACATCCTGTCAAAAATATCATTCTAACTTTATAAAAGTGAAATACACCACATGCATAGGTTTCGAACACCAAAATGTTATAAATGTAAATATCAAAGTTTAGTTGTTAGATATGATAAATGCATGGAAAATTTGTGGTACGTATGCAATTTTCCTTTTATAGAAATAATCAAAATCATCTAAATACGCCCAAATAACCAGATCTTTAACCATCCTTATCTTATACATCAGAAAAAAAAAAATCATATAAATGCGGTCTCTTCAATTTATTAAAAAGTTTAGGTATCATGTATTTAAATAATAGGAATTAGGTTTAAGATTCATAAATATCATAAATTTTGGTGGTAGACAAAATAAAAGACCTCTTTAGAAAAATAAATACATAAAATAATAACCTAAAATTCATATCCGATTATAGAAGCCTGCATTTTCATTAAGGAGAAAAACTTTCCACCTAAAGAAGTGTATGCCAAAAGCTAAATAATAAAAAGGAAGATTTACACACATGCCACTCATTTCCGACGCATTTAGATATCTAACACCTAAAGTTCAATTTTTACACATCTGCCTATCTTATTTATGCACGAAATGGTGTATTTTCCTTTTTAAAAGTTAAAATAATGATATTATTTATGTGACATGAATATTCGGGTGGTATAAATGTAAAAAGTAAAGTTTAGGTGTTAGATATGTAAATATATAAGAAATTGGGAAGTAAATATGTAAATACCCCTTTACTGTTATGTTTCCTATACCCCGCATGATCAGCATGAGTCAATGGTTCGTTGGTGGTCTGGTTTAGTAAAAATTACAAATCCAGCAAGCCAATCAACGTTTCCTCAAGTCAAATGCAAGCATAATCCAAAATCGAATTTAATCAATCCAGATAAAGGTAAATTGGTCGGTTGTTCTAATGTTGGGCATTACAGAGATTAAAACTACAGTCTAACTTATTTTGGTTGATTGTATATAGAAGGTATACTTCAAAAAAAGAGCGTTTATATACATACCACATAATTCTTATGAATTTATATATCTGACACATAAATATTCATATTTACATGCATACCACTAAAATTTTTATGGGCCTTTACACACATAGCACCCAAAACTTTCATATTTACTTATCTCACACCTAAGCTTTCACAATTACAAATATCATATGAAAAATTACAAATATCATATGAAAAAATTACAAATATCATATGAAAAATAGCACTCATTATCATCTTTTAATAGTCAAATTCATCTTTTCATCCATAAAGTGCTATGTGTGTAAAAATGGAATTTTAGGTGTGAGATGGGTAAATCCATAAGAATTGGGTGCTATGTATGTAATTTTCCCAAATCTTTAACATGACATCAAAAATATCACCATTACTGTGTTTTAAAAGTGAAATACACATTTTCATGCATAGGTTTACAACGCCAAAGTGTTATAAGTGTAAATATCAAACTTTGGTGTTAGATATGTAAATACATAAGAATTCTTAGGTATGTATGCAAATTCCCCTTTTAAAAATAATGACTCCATCATTTGGTTAAATGTAATTAGAAATATGCAATATGAAAATGCTTTAGACTCCATAACCTCACTCACTATTATTCATTTTCAACAAAAAAATGGTTCAAACATGTTTCTAACAGCAAGCAAACAAATGGGCCATTAAACGAAGTACTGCAAAATTGCATTGTTGGATCAATTTTAGAAGAAATAATAATACACTGATGGCTTGCTATTTGCTATTACAAAAATATGTTTTTTTGTGCATCCCAAAAATTTGTAATGGTTTTTAAAAACCATGGAACAAGCACAAAAAAATCTTTGGAACCAAAACAATGACAATCATAAATTTACAAAATTTGTAGCATGTTGCGAAAAACTATTAAGTTATAAACCCAAGACAAGTGCCTAGCCACAAAAGAAGCGTTGGTTTACAGCCTTTCTAAGTCTAGTGCCGGCATTTGTGCTGAATAAAAAAGGCACAAGTACATGGGATATGAATCGTTTGAAGTAATGAAACAATCTCTTAATCATAAAGGGAATAATTTGTCTGTCAGAGATGAATCAATTTTTTTTCTGGAAAAAAAAAGAAAAAAGAATTTTTGTTAACTAAAATGTTGGAAACTACTCAATCTTATATTTTATTTGGAGTCTAGTTGGAGCCTATGAAACTGGAAGCCATGAACTAGGCATTATATAATTACAAAAAGGACATGACACGTCATGGATAAAAAAAAATTTATACTTAATAAATTATTAGTATAAAATATATATGTACATTGGTCTCTACTAAAGACATCACAAAATGAACCATGCAATCATTAAGAAAAAATTGTGATAATAAAAATTATTTTGGCAATACTAGTATTAAATTCCAAATATTAAAAAAAAAACCTCTAAAAACTTAGAAGTTGTTTTGGCGATAAAAAGAAACTAGCATGTAATTTGCAAAATAAAATGATTCGCACAAAATTTGAGAGAAAACCTCCTTGAATTGAATAGTGCAAAGTGATAAAAGTTATTATATGCTAATGTGTCCTAAACATAACCGATAAATTAATGAGCATATTTTGATAAAATTAAACTTGATTTCTATATTTCATAGTAGGAAATCTTTTTTCTTTAGATTTTGATTTTTTCATTTATAAATTATTACAATTTTATTTTACAAAATCAAAACAATGACATGCACACTAAACAAAGTCATCAATTTTGAGAAATTATATATTATTAAACTCATGATCAGATTAGCATTATAAAGTATAAATTATGAAAGGATGTTTATAAATATCTTGTTCAATTAACTAAGTTAAATTTTTAACAGTTAAAGTTAAGATGGATTTTAAAAAGTTAATACTACTCACAACAACGTATAAAAAATTGCATTTCCTCGTTATTTACACACACACACATATATATATATCTCTCTCTGAAATTTACATAAGCAGAACCCAATTCTTATGCCTGTGCATATCTCACACCAAAACTTTGATTTTTACAAATGCAACATATTACATATATATAAAAATGTGGATTTCACTGCTCCACACTGTTCAAAAGTGTGAATTGGGTGCTGATTTTGTAAAAATGAAAGTTTTGGTGTGAGATACGTAAATGCATAAGAATCGGGTGTTCTATGTGTGTGTGTGAGCGCGCATACATACATGTATATTGAAAAAATCGGATAGTAGCTTTAATCACAAACTGGTAGAGCTGCAAGACAGTGAAAAAATTCCACAAACAAACCCCGTGTTGACTCAGCTACTAATCAAATAAAAGGTGAATGGGTTTGATTTGCCAAACGATCAAATGGAAATACAAAGTATGTAAATCAAAGAAAAATGCTCGTCATCATCATAACAATTAGCATTCGCAATAGACAGACCATAGACTATATGTAGCAGGTTTTGTTAATGCACTCATAATAAAAAAAATTAATAAATTTTATTCAATATCATTCACAATTAGCAAACAATTTTCTGCTTTCAAATTTTATACTACAAACAAATCAAAAAGAGTCTCACGGCCAATGTCACAATAATAATCACTTCAAAGGATGCAATAGTACGCCTCTGATGAAATCCGCCCTAATAAAAATAGGCTTTATCCGCTTTTCTAATACATATATATTTTGAAAAAATCTATAGGATATGCATATATAAGATGATAAATCTTCCAGCATCACGTATATCACAAATTTACCGCAAAAAACAAAACATGAAGGACGGCTACAATTCCAAGGCATAATTCATCCTATCCATCCTAAAATTTCAAATCTTACAACACATTAACTTCAATAGGAGATCTTCTCTTTCTGTTTTATGAAGTTAAGACTCCAATGTACTTTCCAACATGTATGTCATTTCTCGGTTCAAATGTCAAGAAAATTAACCTCCGTAAATAATATAAAGTCACAAAAAATGCTAGCTCTATTTCCTTAACATTTCAAAGATACAGAACAAAAATGCTTGCAAAAACACAAAAAATAAAAATAATAAATAGATTGGTCAAAATATCTTTCTGTGGCTTTCAAGAGTGTTATAAAGCTAAATAGGGAATGTCACACTGGGCGGCATGGCTAAGAATAGTGATCGTCACACTTGGCGGCATAGCTAAATAGTAATTGTAACAATTGGCAGCATAGCTAAGAATAGCAAGCTACAATAAAATGTTTAGCAATTTTAGATTTCCAACAATAAGAGGACCATGAAAATAATCAATGGACTATAAACCAAACTATAAGAGAACCGTGAAAAAATTCAAGAAAATTTTAAGAGAATTGGATAGATCCTGTGATTAAACTATCTTTTAGAAGAAAAGATTCATTTCCAAAGGAGCAAAAGTAGTAGCAACCACCCAGCCCTCCAACTATTTGTATGTGAAGAATTTAGTCTCAAAGTATTACATTTCTCCAATTACTCCCTTGACCATACAAAATTGATTCAAAATGGTCCCTCAGGACTAGAATGGGATCAATTTTGTATAATCAATGGACTATAAATGGAATCAATTTTTTTTATCACAACTTCTACCTGAGGGACATTTTAGGATCAATTTTATAAAGCAAGGAACTAAACTGGTAAAATTTTATATTTTGGGTCTAAATTTGCCACATAAATAATCAAGGGATTATTAAGAATTAATTTAAAAAAATGACGATTGAAACCTCAAAACAGTCAAGAGCTCAAGTTTTATAGTACTAATGATACACTAGAAAAATGATTTACCACGGCACCAGAAAAAAAAAACATGTAAAAATCAACAACATATATTTAAATGGAGAAGTGGATTGCAAGAACATAAGAAGAAAAAGAATTAGGAAGGTTACACGATTTTAGGAAAAATGGTA